CACACACACACACACACACACACACACACACATATGACCATACATACATAGACAAACACATACACAGAGACACACACACGCACGCACAACTACCTTGTCGGTATCCTTCACCACAGCGGTGTCGATGAAGATGTAGATGAGCAGGAAGATTGCCGGGAGGGTGTAGGTGAGTAGCGTGGTAGCCCAGTGTCGTGTAGTGATGATGGTTCGCTTCACGAACAGGGCTTTGAACTGTGCCATCCATAGTCGGGGCCCGCTGTAGCGTCTAGGGTCGGTCTTGTACTCTGGAAGAAAGGAGGAATAAAAATCTGCATCTTCAAAAAGTTCATAAATTCATCCGTTACCATTGAAACGGCGGCCATCTTGAATTTTGTTGACAATTTTATTTTCTGAAACTTTGCAAAACTATGCTACCTTGACGATTTTTTTAGAAACCAAAGGGAAATAAGACATGAAATTTTACAGAAAACTATGTTTTCATATTGATAGGACCATTAGTAATCAGTTCAGAGGTCTCCAAAGTGAGACTTCCAAAGAGAGTGGACAATTTAGGTTAAATATTCCACTCTTTTAACTATTCTTTCTGGTTAAAAAGTTGGTTTTCAAGGTAGCCTGGTGGGCGTTTTAGACAGCGTCATTATTAAAGCACAGAAAAACCCGCAAAGGGGGAAAAGGGGGGGGGGGCTGTAAGGGGTCGTTGCTACAGGTGATTGTCTTGTACAGGTGGCCGTTAGAGCAGGTGAGAGCGTACCAGCAGATCGGTGACGGTACAGAGGTGTGACGGATGGCGCTCCTTGGTAACTGCCTGCGGTGTTGTAGAGATCTGTTCTCATAGTGTCAGGGTCTCTCTTTTCGGATCTGAAATAATAAAAGCAATAATAACAATGATGATAATAATAAGAAGAAGAAGAAGAAGAAGAAGAAGAATAAGAAGAAGAATGATGATGATAATAATAAATGAAAATAATAATAGTTATAATATTATTAATAATAATAATAGTAACAACAGTAAAATTACCCGTATAGCATGCGTTTTATTCTCTAAATCAACACACATTTAGATCATAGATCATTTAGGAAGTGGGCTTCGACTCTGCCTGTTATGGACAGCCCGGGGTGAGAGGGATTCAAAAACGTTCCAGCAGAAAGACCGAGATTCTCGATACAAAATTATCTCCATACAGGAATCCAACTTAAGTTTTCTGAGGGCGTCAGTGAAGCGCACGATGGCTGCACTACTGAAAACAGAAATCCGCAATCGATTTTTGAGTTGGGAGAATTTTTTCTGAGTATTTCGATCTTTCTGCTAATTGGTTGCATTCTTCTCTGCCCTGATTGGCCTCGACAGGCAGGGTCGGACATTCGCATCCTTATGGGCCTAAATTGAGTCGATGGAGGGGTAAAAACACCTACATGTAGAAGAAAAAAAAAGTGGACCACATAGTCAGGCCCTAACACAGACCACACGACCACACCACCACACAACCACACCACAACATTGACCAAACAATTGCACCACCACACGAACACACCACAGCATTGACCAAACAATTACACCACCACACGACCACACCACCACACGACCACACCACCACACGACCACACCACAGCATTGACCAAACAATTACACCACCACACGACCACACCACCACACGACCACACCACCACACGACCACACCACAGCATTGACCAAACAATTACACCACCACACGACCACACC